ATTTCCCACTCCCTTTCTTGGAAGAATGCCACATATGATCGGGATTCCTCCCTTGCTCCTAACTAATTCAATGGCTGTCCTGAATCTCTGTATTAGTTCTTCACTCCTAACTCGTCCAACATCATTACCCCCTGCACTAATACAAATAATGGGTTTGTTTCCATTTCCCGTCATAATATCATTCATTTTTCCAACAATATCACCAATTCCAGCTCCCGGATAGCAAACCCTTAATCTGTTCCCCCTATCTCTGGCACCATTCTCCACTCCCTCGTCCGATGCATTACCAAATGATTTGATGAACCCATCAGAAAATTGGGAACATCAAATGATCTGATGTTCCCATCACTGAAATATATGAAAAAGTTAAAGAAAACGAAATGACAAACAATGAAAAAATAAAAAAATAGACAATACTCACTTAATGAACGATATGGTAAACAGTGTTCAATTCCAACGCAATGTCAAACTAAATAATTAAATCAAAATGAAAATAAATCAAATCTATGAAAGTTCAATTTATCAATGAAATCAGAAACGTTGAAATGGAACTGTAACATATTTAGTATAGCGTGCGTTGCTCTTACATGTAACAGATTTTTTTTTTTTTTTTTTTTAAATCATGTTTTTACCTGTCACAGGTGTGGCATCTATACTCATACTCGTGAAATGAATGGTATGGTAAACAACACAACTCAATTCCAATGCAATGTCATACAAAATAATTCAATCAAAATGAAAATAATTTATAATCTATGAAAACTCAATTTATCAATGCAATCAGAAACATTGAAATGGAAACGTACCATACTTAGTATAGCGTGTATTGCTATTAGGTTCAACAGATGGCGCTGTTTTTCAAAAAAAGCATGCCACACCTGTCACAGGTGTGGCATCTGTATAGTAGATATATAAAAACAAGTGCATATTCGAATGGAACGTTGTCAAATTTTCAAAGCAATCGGTGAAGAACTTTCAGAGATTACAGCGTATGTTGCTCTTACGTTTAACAGATGGTACTGTTTTTAAAAAAAAAGGATGTTTTTTCTGTCACAGGTGAAGCATGTATATAGTAGATATATTAAATCACACGCCTGTTCGAATGCAACGTTGTGTCAAAATTTCAAAGCAATCGGTTAAGAGGTTTCGAAGATTTCCCTATTATGAAAAACACAGTTTATAAAAAAAATGTTTTTCCCATCACAGACGTGTCAACAATATAGTGTGTGTATATATAAACCTGCCCGGATGCGAATGGAACATTGTGTGAAAAATTCAAAGCAATCGGTGAATAACTTTCGGAGATTAGCGATTATGAATAAACGAACATTTACATTTTTATTTATATAGATAATTGAGCGTATGTCAGTGATTAACCTCAGGATACTAGCAGAGGATGGAGGGTTGATAATAAGTGACATGAAATGAGATGTTGATACTTTGGGGACGTGAAGTGACGCTAGCAGGAGGTCGTGACTTCACTTGAGTCGCAACTGTCGTCAGAGGTGGTTGTACGTCATTGATTTTACTGGAATAAGGAAGAATATAATTCCCTGTGTTAGTGCTGCTGAAGTGAAGACTGCAAGTGTGAGGAGGTTATTGGGGACATAATACACCATTTCTTTGTGATTTTGGTAAATTACAGGCGACCTGCAAAGTGAGTGGTGGTCATCCCTTGGTGAAACTCTCATTGTTCTGCCTTCAAGTGGAAGGAAGCAGGCGTTTCTGTTGTGGAGCCTGTCAGGCGACGTTGTGAACTCAAGTCGTTGACTGGAGGAAGCCTTGTGAGGCAGTCCTGAAGTATTTTTGTGGGAGGCCCTTGTGAGTGCCATGTCTGAGCTCCAGTGAGTGAGCGTCCTCAAGTCAGAGATTTTGGCGGTTTGTTTGGGAAGAAGTCGTGGACAAACATCGAAGTTAGAGAAGAAGTTGATGGAGGAACTTCGAGGCTGGAGAAGAAGTGTGTGCTGATCATCTGTGGTAGAGCAGAACTCCATAGTGAGGCGTTGACTTCAAGCAGTGTAAAGGAGCTACACGTGTCTCTGTGGAATCAGTGGTGAAGCGTCACTAATATTGGATTAAGATTTCGTTGTGCAGCAAATTTGGAGAACAGCAGAAGTGCCTTTCTGAATATTTTGTAGGACCTCGAGATATGTATTGGTGGTGAACCTCCAGGAGCAGAACAGAGATTCATGGTGGACACATAATGGTATAAGGGGAGTACTTGAACACTTATTGGCATGTAAGACGCAGTGTAAGGTGAGAGATTGATTTCTTCTTTTGCTGGGGGATAATAATGTAGATGTTTCTGGTGTTTCAGTCCCGAGCTGAGTTTCATATACATTTAGGGTTGATGATACAGTATTGTTGTGACAGAATTTCAGCCCCATTTAGTGAGGGAGTAGTAAGTGGTAAGCCAAGAGTTTGGTAGCCACTTGATATAGACAGTTAAAGCCAGGATATCATATTGGAATGCTATCGGGTTGTAGCAGTTTAGTGTTGTATGATAATGTTCTATTTTAGATGTCATGTATTATGTATGGTTTCTTTCTATATTAAATGTATGTGTTAGCTGGCTATTGCTCATGTTCTATTGAGGTTTCCCAGAAAGCACGAGAGAGAGAGAGAGAGGGGGGGTCATGGCTGCGGATAGAATAGCAGAAGATACTAATTCACGAAGTGGGGATTAAGGAAATCATTCCAAACTTGGAGAGAGTGGGGAGTCACAGCGGCTCGAGTAGGGTGTGTGCACAAGACAGATGCCAGTGTTGGAGTCGCACCCCTAAATTTGTGATGCTAAGCCCCCTCTCCAAGATCAAGAGGCGTACAGGGTGATCTAAGTAAATTATAAGCACTCCAGTGTCCATTGCTGGTCGACCGATGGTAACGGGAGTGTGGTTGCCGAGGTGAGTTGTTTGTTCCATCAGGGAGTGGATGGGGACGTTGTTTGCCGATATGCAAATAAATGTCCGATACAATAACTAGAATTTTTTTTTTTTTTTGGGGGGAGGCTTAAGTCCCAAAATCCCCAACCCCTTCAGGGCAGAACATATATTGGGGGCCTGTCCGGCTCCCAATATTTTGTGCTTGTGACTTGTGCTTGGACTGACACATCTCCATTGCAGCTGTAGGTAGCCTGTGTGGCTGCAGGTATTTTCTTTCTCTCTCGGGAAGATCCACAGGACAAAATGGAGAAGGTGCAAGCATTTGTAGAGTCAGGCAAGCCTGAAGATTTGGAAGGTTGCCCCCAAAGAGCAGTTTAAGCAGATAGCGGAGAAATGTGGCGTCAATGAGAAGTCATACAAAGTGGCTGGAATGAAGGATGAGATCCGCAGACAGTTGAGAGCTAAGAACGAAGTGACAGAACAAGGAGCCCAGAAAGGAGCTGGATGTGGAAAGGAAGATGATGGACAAGATGAAGTGAGATCCCAAGGATCTAGTAAGAGTAGTAAGAGTAGCCACAGTAGCAGGAATAGAAGCTTAGAACGGTTCTAGCTAGAGCTCCAGATGCAACAAGAGCGTGAGTGTGAGGAGAGGCAGTTCCAACTGGAGAGGTTGAGGTTAGAACTTCAGATGAAAAATGAAGTAGAAAAAGAAAAGGAGAAAACAAGTATATAAAAATTTAAGTTGGAACAAGAAAAAGAAAAAGAGAAAACAAAACAAATGGAGATAGAAGCCAATAAAGCTTTGGCAGAGCAAATGATTGAACGTAGATATACAGAGAGCACCACTCGTGTATCACACCTAGCGGAAAATATAGTTAGAGAAAATGACATTCCCCTACTTGTGCCGGAAGAGTCAGAGAGCTTCTTCAAACATTTTGAGAAGATAGCCAACATCAAACAGTGGCTGCAGGAAGAGTTGGCTCAATTGGTACAGTTACGACTGACCGGTGCTGCCAGAGAGGCGTATTCCCGGTTGTCTTTGGAAGAATGCCAAGAGTAGTGGACTGTGAAGAGCAGCGTATTGCATTCTTTCCTATTGACTCCTGAAGCTTACAGAAAACGCTTCAGAGAAATGACGAAGGCTCCTGCAAGTACGTTCGCTGAGAAGGCGAGAGACCTGGAAAGGTGTTTCCAGAAATGGATAGAAGCTGTCTGTAAAATCCTATGTTGATTTGAAACAGTTGATGGTTATGGAGGGGAAATGATACACCCTGAAACGAAATTTAAGATACAAGAGGAAGGAGTGAAGAATGTGAGAGACGCAGCCGATAGGGCAAATGTGATTACAGAGGCTTATCGGAGCTTGAGGGAAAGCAGAGTGAAGAGCGATGTAAGATGTGATAATGGCAGACCTAGTGGAGCATGGGGTGGTAAAAGTGTTGGGGGGGGGGGGCAGGTAAATAAGTATGGTGGCCTCAAGTCCTGTGAAGAAAAGTTGCCGAGTCTGCCGGCCAGAGTTAAGAGAGAAACTAATTATGTACCGAGGAGTCAGGAGTCCAGCCAGATCCAGCAGAGTGCAGTTGGTCCGCCTGTGCAGAGAACCTCAAACACGAGGGGACAGTCAAAGCCACTCAGGGGGATATAGAAGAGACTTATCCCAAGTGAGATTCTATAAATGTAATAGACGTGGTCACATGATGTAAGAATGTCGGCAGGACAAGAGAGTTGTTACCCTGAAAATGTGTTTTTCCCGAAATCCATGTGTTAATATGATACAGGACAAACTACAGAAAGTGAACTTGATGAACGCGAGGTACAGCCCGTTCATTTGTAAAGGTTGGGTTAGTATAGAACCTGAAGTGGAAGTAAATATCCTAAGGGATACAAGAGCGAAGAGCGAATTAGAGCCTGATTCTGAGAAGCCTGATCGTGGATGATCGACTTTTGGCTGGCAGTTGGAAAATAAAAAGGTGTATGGGTTATTGGCTGAGAGTGACATGCCCATTTGTGCTGTCAGGCTGAAGTCAGACTATTTGTCGGCGGAAGTGGTGTTGGGAGAATGCCACAACATACCTGCTTCAGGAATCCAAGTGATCCTGGGTAATGACTTGTGCAGAT